GGCTTCTTCCGCTTTAATGTTGTCCTCACCTGCATATGATGTTGGAAAATTAATAGAGATACGAACAAATTTTATTCCTGAGGCGTGTATAATAACTGCCCTTAAGGATTTATCCGCGATGTATTGCGCAAGTCTCCCAGGATACAACAGAAACTTCTTGGAATATTCGAAGATCTCAAAAACGAGCAAGAAACTCTCAAAAGAGTAAATTAACCCAGGATAACAAAAAGAAGATTAGAGACGAGAAGATGAAAGAGGTATGTTTCTGAAGAGTGTGAAGTGGTCTCTATTTATAGTAAAAAATCTGTAATAGTTATGGGAAGACTTGGTAGTGGGTCTGTAACGTTCTCTAAAACGTGATCTGTAACATTTTATGAAACGTTCTCTGACACGGTATTCTGCAACGTGTGGGAACATGTTATCTGAAACGGTATTTGTAACTTGTGGGAACACGTTCTAAGTTTTGCAATACCCCTTAATTTACAACAATCCCCACATGTTGCAAAACAAAAAAGAGATAAAACAATAAAAGAAAAAAATGTTGGGTTTCATATAAGATGTAATGCATGAGAGCTAGTATAGCATGCTATATGAACCAATCTTAGACGGAAAAACTTAACACACAGTGTAGTTGGTGTAGCAAGCTATATGAACCAAAACACTTAATATGTGTTAGCAGTTTTAACAATCACAATACACTCTCACAATTCTTGTTCATGCGCATGCCCGGTATTTATGAGTGCTATAGAAATCTTGCAAAGATCTCATACAAGCGATCACACTCAACACTCATATAGGTGACTTCATCAAGCGTATGCTGCAAATCATACACCACCCGTAAGGGATATGAAATTGTTTAAAAACTTTGTTTAGACTAAAATTCGTATACCACATAGAATTTTAATTACAAAGTTTAACCTCTCAATGATGCAGTATCTAGTATTTTTACATATACACCATAGGAATAGACATAATTGATTTTAATCAATTTTAGTACTATCAGAACTAATAAGTGACTTGTTTTTACCCATATGAACCTTATTCATGGGATCTCCAATCACAAAGGTTGGGTTACCATCACCTGTTTGTTTGCAAGTGGCTTAAGTCTCATTCCCTTCAATGTTTCTAAAAATCATATTTCTCTCTAATGGTTTCGTCAAAGGATCTGCTAGATTTCGTTCTGACTTCACATAGTCAATCGAAATTGTTTCATTCTTTAGCAGTTGCTACACAAAATTGTGTCTCAATTGTATATATCTATTATTTCCATTGTAATTCTTGTTTTTAACTATAACTATTACCGATTGACAATCACAGTGTATTGATACAAATGGATTTGGTTTCATTCTCAATGGAATGTTTGCTAAGAAGTTTTTCAACTACTCAGCTTCACTACCAGCCATTTCGAGAACAACAAATTTAGATTCCATTGTTGATCTTGTAATAATTGTTTGTCTGGTTGATCTCCATGTAATCGCACTACCCCCAAGTGTGAATACATAACCACTAGTAAATTTTGTCTCATCTGAATAAGAGATCTAGTTAGCATCATTATACCCTTCTAGTACAGCGGGAAGTCCACTATATCCAATGGCATAATCCATTGAACCTCTTAAATATGTCATAAGTCTTGTCAGTGCATTCCAATGTTCTTGAATAGGACATTGAGTGTATCAACTCAGTCTACCTACTGTATAAGTAATTTTAGGTTTTAGAAAAACTCATTAAATACAATAAGCTCCCAATAAACATAATGAGGTTGAGAGATTAAGTCTCATTTTCTTTAACTTAGAGTTAGCGTCATAAGGGGTATTCACTACATTTATCAGCATCATTAGTTAAAAAGTCATCACAAAGTATAACACTATCAAATTTTTCATACCACTGTTTTTGTACTTGTTTTAATCCATACAAGATTTTAAAAGTTTGCACACTTTGTTCTTTTGACCAGAAACAACACACCCTTCAGGTTGAGTTATACAAATTTTCTCCTCTAATTCACCATTCTAAAATGTTGTCTTAACATCCATTTGGTGGATAGTGTTAGAGATAACAAAACTCAAATAGAGGAAATCCTAGTCACATGGTCAAAGGTATCAAAATAATCAATGTCGCATTTTTGAGTAAAACCCTTTGCTAATAATCTTGCTTTCTATTTATCTAAGGATCCATCAGAATAATATTTTTCCTTAAAGGTCCACTTACAACCAATAGGTTTTGCTCCTTTAGCCAAATCTACCTGTTATTTTCTTCATTTAAGTTAATTTCAGTCTTAATGACTTTATCCCAATGTATTGCATCAGGAGCCCTGGTAGCCTTTCAAAAACTCGTTGGATCATTTTCAACTAGATAAGTGTGAAAATAATCTCCAAAGGAGGTTTCCTTCCTCTGTCTTTTACTTCTCCTCAAATCTTCATATACATTATCACTAACTATCTATGGATTGTTTAGGTGTCTCACTAACCTTTAGAGGAAATATATGTTCAAAGAACTCAACATTTTTTGTCTCCACTATAGTATTATGCTCAATTACATCACTTTTGAGGATAAGAAACCTATAGGCAGCACTATGTTCTGCATAGCCTAGGAACATACAATTAGATGTATTAAAGCCTATTTTACTTTTCCTAGGATTGGGTAATATTACCTTAGCTATATACCTCCACAGTCTTAGATATTTAAGATTAGGTTGATAACCTCTCCATAACTCATAGGCCAGTTCTCTTAAAAAATGACATTGTAAGTAGAGCTTATCCCCAAAGGTTATTAGGTGCACTAGAATTATTTAATTAATTATACTTTGGTGTATCTAAAGTAGTTATCAATGTCACAAAATATTTTTTACCATAACAATCTTATCAGATTCGAATGACACTTTAACCCCAACTTTTCCTAGCAGTGCTACAGATATTATATTAGCTCTGATTAATGACATATGTAGCACATCACTCAATGCCAGAGTCTTTCTGTATGTGAGCTTTAGAAGAATTTTTCCTTTTCCTAAGACATGAGTTGTCCTAGAATAATCGACAAATGTGTCTGGTAGCACCAAAGTCTACCACCTATTTGCTCACATTTGTCACAAGGTATATTTGGGAAATAACCGCAATAATTATATATTCTCCTTTGACTAAAATTGCATTAGGAAGATTGTCGTTTCTCATTCTACGTCTGCACTGAGGTGCATGATGACTTGACTTTCTACAGACAAAGTCATTTTCCTTTTTCTTGAAGATGAGATTAGATCCATTAGGACGAGAATTAAAATTATTGTTTTGGTTAAAGACTCAATTCCGTTATGGTTTCATATAGTCTCAAACTTTCTTATACGTATGTACAAAATAATATGTAGACAAAATAATATCCTACACATGTATGGACAAAATAATATGTAGACAAAATAATAGCATACACATATATGTACAAAATAATATGTAAACAAAATAATATCCTACACACGTATAGATAAAATAATATGTAGATCTAAGTCATGCATTGCATACATGTAACTGCTAATTATTCACAAAGAAAATCCCTCATGACATATAATAATTTTGCATAATTTCTCCCATAACATAAAATAATTATGCATAATGCATTTTTCATTTTCTCTGTTGCATTGGTGTAATAAATTGGAAAAAGGAACATGTGTTTGATGACATCACTTTGATCCAAAAATTTTCTATCATAATTATAACATCTAAACATTTTCTATCATAATTATAACATGGAGTGAAACCAATTTTATACATGATTTATCTTTAACCCAATCACATCATTTGTCTTTTCAATAAGAATTACAGGGTCATTCACATTTCAATAAGAAATTGATTGTAACTAAAAACATAAATTAGGGTTCATGTTAATCTAATAAGTATGGCTTTGATACCACATGTATTTTAATTTGTAGTTTTTATACGTTACTAATTCTATAAAACTACTCTTCAGGTTTAGATTCTTTATTCTCACATAATAGCCTACATGAATCATAATCATATAATAACATACATGAATTGATTATCACATAATAACATACATGAATCATAATCAGAAGACTAACCTTGATCCATGAGCACTTCATAATTCCCTTTCTTTCACGATCCAATATTGTAAAACTGTTGAAGGAAGTTGTTGATATTCGTACTGTCAACTTAAATCCTTAAGATTGTTGGAAAATTGACAGAGATACGAACAAACTTTATTCCTGAGGCGTGTATAATCACTGTCCTTAAGGATTTATCTGCGGTGTATTACGCAAGTCCTCCAAGATACAATAGGAACTTCTCGGAATATCCGAAGATCTCAGAAACTAGCAACAAACTCTCAAAAGAGTAAATTAACCCAGAGAAAGAAGATTAGAGAAGAGAAGATGAGAGAGGTGTGTTTCTGAAGAGTGTGAAGTGGTCTCTAAGAGAAAGTCTGTAACAGTTATGGGAAGACTTAGTAGTGGGTCTGTAACGTTATCTGAAACGTTATCTGTAACATTCTCTGAAACGTTCTCTGACACGGTCTTCTGCGATGTGTGAGAACACGTTCTTTGAAACGGTCTCTATAACTTGTGGAAACACCTTCTAAGTTTTGCAATACCCCTTAATTTACAATATATGATAACATTAGCTTTTTAGTAGGTTCCAAGTATGTTAGTATGAACCAATAAAAGGAAACAAGATCATGCTGTTAACTCGGAGTGACTCAGCTGAAGACACCACTCCTGAAACAATGACTTTTGATCTTTCTTCATGATTATTAATCGTAGAGCATGCAGTTTTCTTTTTCTCTTTTCATCCGAATTTGATTTTTTTTCTCAGTTTAAGAGGGTGCAAAGTGTGTGGAAGATAACTATTGCAATGATATTGCACAAGTGTACATCAACCATTTTTGTCTCTAGGACATCATTATTAAGCAACATATGGTACAATATTTATTGCTTTCCCTTTGCAAAAGTCAAATGCATCTTATATCAAGTTTCAATCATTTCCATACCTCCGTCCTCTGGCAAATCAGAGGTCCAGAGTGTCAGGTTGTCTCTCAAAAGCTGCATGATCAAAGTGCTCCTTGTATGACTCTTCACTCAGGGTGTCCAACTCTGCAATTGCCTCATCAAAAGCTTGTTTAGCCAAATGGCAGGCCCTGTAGTTTCAGTAATGACATTCAGACAAGAGCTAGCAACAAATGCACTTCAATGGATCCATGCAGATTGAGAGAACCAATAACTTACCTTTCAGGAGAGTTCATTATCTCATAATAAAAGACAGAGAAATTGAGTGCAAGCCCAAGACGAATTGGATGTGTTAACGGGAGATCTGTGTTTGCAGTGGCTGACGCAGCCTAATAATTACAACATAGGTGAAAATCAAATGATAGTGTAATGCATAACATAACCCACATCAGTTATCAGAGTCGCGCAGCGAAAGCGTGGTGGGCTTATAACCCACAAGTCTCTGGATCGCAACCAGGCTCTGATAAAATGTTGACTGTTTTTGTTTTTTTGATCATTTTGAGCTTAGAAAAACTGGAAAACAGACTGAGAGTTCTATGTAAGGTTATTTTGTTATTTGATCATTTGATGTTAGAAATGCTGGAAGGTCATTTTGTCATTTGATGTTAGAAATGCTGGAGAACATACTGAGACTTCTATGGTTACTGAGAATAATGTTAATTAATGCTGGATAACAACATACTGAGAGTTCTATGGTTATTAAAAATTAACCAATTGCATAATTAATTTTGTCTGAATACTCTAGGCATATACATATTATTTTGCTAAATAGTGATGTTAATCTTTTCTCGAAGTCAAATATAGGATTCTCCTTAAAACTTCAAAGCCTCATATTCTAACTAATTTTGTTTCACATGATTTGTCCCATATGATTCTGATCATAAAAAATTCAAATAGTTCAGGTTACAGATCTGATCATACTCCTAGTTTGAGACTTCCCAAAAACTAAAGATATAAAAGGTGAGCAGCATTGCACACATCCCATTCCTCAATTGTTTCCACAAAATAAAGAAAACAGAAATGAAAAAATCATAAAGGAGTAACGCGGGCAATTCTAAGATGATGGGTGCAATAGAAGAATTACTGAAAAGGAATGAAGGAACTGATTTCTATAATAAGAAGCTATGCAATATAATCCTACAAAGAATTCAAGCTATGAACGGTAACTGCTACAATCTATGATACAAAAAGCAGACTATAAATTAACACTGTATAGCCTCAAATGGCCAAAAAACTAGTGTACGTTTTTATTCATCTGTCCAACTTCACGTCCAAATGATGGTTTGGTTGTGTGCACCATTCCATTACCAAGTGGATGTAAGCAACATCGCTTTCTGCTTGAGAGGAGCCAGTAAGCAATTCCATAACTATGCACAATAAAGTTGGCATAAACAAACTATACAGCATTTGACTGTTGAAACCAGAACATGTCAAGATATGCTATCTATGGTTAGCTGAACTGTCCTTAAGGTCATTATCCTTAGCCGCTAAGCGAGCTGTAGAACCAACAGTTGTTGGCCGCAATGATCCTTGCCGCACCATAGCAACAAATTCAGGATCATTTGTCTTTCCCTCATACCTTACCCATTGTACCATTTCGTGATACATGGGAAAGAACCTCATCTGTATTGCTGAGTAAGAGAAGTATGGGATGAGTGCTGAGATCACGACAACCAATGTCACAAACCAAAAGGAAGGCGATGGTGCAAGAGTTTCAACGAAGACTTTGTAAGCATTTCCGGAAATGGTGGGAGACATTGCTCCATATGCCAGGAGGAAAAGGTACCAGATAGCAACGGAACCCCAGATGAAAATATGTTGAATCAAGGTGAAGTAATTTATAGCAACAGCCATTTGCAAGTTCACAACCCAAACCACACAAGTATACATTGTTGCTCCGAGTATATCCCTCCCAGCAGTTCTTCCCTTCTCATCAAAGGCTTGAATCTCCATTGCCTTTGTGCAGAAAAAGAAGATTATTATGGCACTAATAAAGCCATTAAGCATCCAGCTGAAAATTCGACGCCAGCTAAAGAGAAGATTTTGCACGCCTTCTTGATACAACATAGGAAACTGACATGTGAAATGCAAATAACATGGAATCAGCATCAGAGAAGTAAACCATGAGCCCAAAGTAAAGTAAATCAATGCATACTGTGTTTTACTTCGCATGCAGCCAACAGAGGGCTTATTTACGTTCAATAACACATAGGTGACTTCTGTGTTCTAACATTATTATTACCATTAGTAATGTGCATCCTAAGTCATCACATTAATATCATGATGCAACTGAAGCCACTATAAAAGGGTAAAAACTAAAAATCATTTAGGTCAAAATGTGCAATTAGGTCTAACTTAGATGTAATCATATAAGTTATGGCAAGGTTTTGTTAATTTTTTTGTATGGTGGGTTCTCTATGCTCTTCCATCAATAAGCACACTATATTACAAAGTAACGAAAAATTTCATTTCAAAATCATTATAAGAGAAACACAATAGCATGCCGTAGGGTGGATGAACTGTAAGCTTACCCTCAAACAGTACCGAGCAGACACATCCTGGTCAAATACCCCTAGTGCAATCACGGGCAGTGAAGAAAAGAAGATATTATAGACCGACAAAAACCAGTCATTGTATGCAGGTTGCCCAGAGAATGATGCATACACCTCATATAAGAATAGAGTGAAGCCAAATGTGATGTTTTTGTAGAAGAAGTAGCATATCTGTCGGAAGAAGAATGAAACAAGTTAATATAAGTACAAAAGGTGTCAGATTATCTTTTAATGTCAGTTTGGCAACTCGTGAAACTGGTTTAGTGGTATAGAATTGTTTAAGATAATCTAGTCATAAATTTCGGTTTTTTTGTGAGATTGCATTTCAAAACCAATTGGCATTAAGTGATAAATAGGTTTCCAAAACTATTGAACACTACCCTCCCCCCAATCCATGGATGGTTTCCAAAACAAACCAGACTATCAAAATAGGTGAGATTACCAGAGATTCTACTATTATGTCAAATTTCATCTAAAAACCAACAGACATTAAACAAAGTTGTCAACAAATACATCGGAATAGGTGATTACCAATATGGATATTAACCATATCCATATCATATTTCATCTAAAAACCAATAGGCATAAAACAAAGTTGTTAACATATATGTAAGTTGCACTTCAAAAATTGAGACAAGTAATGTAGGACTTTCCAACAATTTTTAACCTAATTTTAGTTTAACATGAATTTAGATAAATTAGCATTAAACCAAATCTTATATAATCTAAGTTCGAAAAAATTAGTATGCTTATTGACCTTAGGATGAATGAGTGGTTCCAAAAATTATTTAATAAAAAACCACCCTTGGATCTAGCTGCAGGAGAGAAATATGAATATGGAGGATTTAAGTAGTTATGTTTCAAATTGACTTCCATAAGAACCAATTTTTTAAAATATGGGAAGTTATCAAACACTATTATATTTAAAAAAAGTACCCACTACACTTATTGTTTCAATGTTCCAAAAAATTTCCAAGGTCGATAGAATGTTGAGAAGTAGATATAAGAGTGACTATACCATTGATGAGATCCTTCGGTAACACCAATGTCCATGTACAAGAAGTAACCTTTCCAAATAACAGAACTGTGCAATTGCAATATCACTAGACATAACCGCCTGGGAGGAACAATAATAACAGAAGTATTTAAAAAGTCGAATGAAAAACCAAAACCAATTAAACAAAGAGTTAATCAATTTGGTGAGTACCTGCATTCCTTCAACGCCACTGATTCCAATCCCTATATCTGCTTCTTGAAGCATTCCCACATCATTAGCTCCATCACCAATAGCTAATGTAGTTTTACCAGTAGCTGATTTTACCAGTCTAGTGACCTTTAAGAGAGGAACCAATAAATAAAACATTACTTTTAAAAGCTAACCAGAATCATTATAAAGAATTAAAAAAAAAAAATGAGGACATGATGTCAAATAAAGAGGAAGAAATACAATAGATTGAAACATACCAGTGCCTTCTGCTTTGGTGAGGAACGACAGCAGATAACAGATGCACAACGAGTTGCAAGGTCTAAAAACATTTTCTTCATATTATCCTCTAGGGCATAAGCAAGTGATTTTCCATCGATAATTAGAGCAAATGCTTGCTGAGAGGTTCCTCTGGAGGCAGTAATCTGCTGAGCAGCTTCAGATATTTGATGGCGGATATTTTCTCTACAAGCCTTAATACATGAATCAGCATAAAAATATCAGAAGCTCAACTTTTAACTCTGGTTTCATTAAGACACTTACACACCAAGAATCCCTTCCCTTTCAACTAGAATGGAGGAATCCATGAAATATAAATTTAAATCATCACCTATGTAAACCAATACAATGCATGCATCAGCTCTCTATGTAAGTAGACATTATTGGTATATTTTAATAAGATAACACATAGTATGCAAACTACATCATAAATAAAAACTAAAGATTGATATTTAAATTACCTTAACAATGGCCACCTTGTCTCCAGCCTTCTCCAATGCTTGAATTTCTGGACTTTCCAATTGAATTATAATTTGTTTCATTCCTTGTCTAAGTAAACTACAAGCAAAACTGAAATTGTATATTGATGTCAAACATCTAGCGAAGTAATTCTTATTCTGAAGCCAGCGTTAAAAGGGCATTATCACTATATTATATATTATACCCAATATTGATGGCAGTCTCCATTTTATCCCCAGTCAAAACCCAGATCTTAATTCCAGCTTGGGAAAGCTTGTCAATGCAATCAGGAACCTATAAAAAAGTATGAGAAGCATCATTTCAAATTCAGTTCCAATATCATACCTTTGTATGTAAACATTGATTTTTCCTATCTCACCCCGTTTTGGAGCTTGTCCTCTACAGCAGTGGCACCAAGAAGGATTAAATTCCTCTCAATCTTTTCTGATACTTCCTCAATCAGTGTTTCCCGATCTTCACTAACTGAATTTTTCGCTTGAGAAAAATTATTATCAAACTCCTTGTATTGGTTTTCATCAAGTTCACGATATGCCAAAATTAGAGTCCTTAGACCTGCATCAGAATATTCATGCACATGTTCCAAGGTTTTCTCTTCAAACTCCCTCCCATCCTTGGCAAGCCTCTCAAACATGACACTGCATGAAAATAAGAAAAAAGGCAGGTCAGTAGGCTTAAATTCAACCATAAGAACTCCAATATACGATAGTCACAGGTTAGTTTATCACAAACCTGTCAGCACCTTTACATAGTAACAAAATTCTCCCTTCTTCATCTTTCACAATCACTGACATTCGCTTCCTTGTGCTATTGAATTCTAAAACATTTAGAAGTTTGTATGTCCTGAAGCATGAAATTAGTTAGTGCATATCTGATACTCCGCATTACTTGGATTCCAAAAGGCAGTGGCAATAAACAATACTTGAATTAGGAATACTGCAGTTTAAAAAGTTATTTTAGAAAGTATCAAACAGAATTTGTAATCATGTATATTGTGAAATCTCTAATTTCAAACACCATCACAAAATAAATAAATATGCCTAGCGGAAAGATGGCTAGGGTAAAAAGTTTAACCATTTTTTTCATCCACATTAACATTTAAGACGTGGAGCAAATTAATTTGCCAAGTGGAAATATGGCTAGGCCAAAAAGTTTAACAATTTTTTTCATCCAAAAAACTATAAAGGTGTCCCACATTGGTGGTTGGAAATATTACCAAAATACTCCGTATAAGTCTTGGAAGATCATCCACCCTCAAGCTAGCTATTGGGGTCATTTAAGGCCTAGCCTATTTTAAATGTTTAACTATAGGAATTTGTTTCAAATCCATTTATATGTCGTAAAACAATATTAAAACATCTTTGGGGTCTAAAACACAACTTCACCTATTCTATAAGCAGCATTGGTCTACTTGATCAGTCACTCTTAAGAGTTGAAAAATATCAATATCAGACTCCACATTCCTGTGCAAGATATAATACTAAAACTTATTGAATAAGATCAGCAGTAGAAGTAACAGTTTTCTTCTTTCAAGTACTTTTTATTGTAATTAGCTGCTGTTATAATAAGACTTATTAATATGTGATTGCAAGTGCCTCTTTCAGTGAGAATACAATGATAAACTTCTAATGTTGATTAGCA